ATGCTCAAGCAATTTAAGAAAGCAGGTTATCATCTTCATCATTTTTCTGAAAGTTGGGAGCAGATTCAATTCATGACATCTAATGGGATTATGCTGAAAATGGCCTCCAAAAAAGTTTTCATCTCAATTTTTTAATAAAATTTTGGGATGGAAGATTCAATACATTGTCTGAGGGGGTTTAAGCTGGTAAGGTCATGGAAAACTGGTTTTTCTCTCATTCCTGTGAAGAAAGCATGTATTGCAGATATTTTACAGAAAGTCTGAGAGGGTTATATAAAAAAAAAGGAATGCAGAAATGAAAAAACCAGGTTATTGAAGACTTTTTCAATTTTTAAAATTTTGTTGAAAATTTTCTGTCTATCAACTGAATAACAAAGCCATATCAGTTGCTCTGAGCATCAAAAAGTAACTTCCTTTTATTAACGGATTCAACAAAGTACAACTGATCAGCCCTTGAAACCAGAATGCCGCAAAAGTTTTATCAAGAGATTCAGATCCCTCATCACCATCCTCAAAACAATTCAACTCAGACTCAAACAAACTGACCATTACCATTCAATAGGTCAGGCACATCTCACATATCCAGTTCCTTCAACCAAAACCTCTGCAGGTCCTCCATTGATCCAAATGCAAAGGTCAGCTTTGGTGTACCAGCAACATTGAACAGCCTCACTCGACCTGACGTCAATACAACCATTAACACAACTATACAAATTTGGACAAAACTCTTACAAACTGACCATTCATTTCTTCCCGGCACTTGGCACCCGGGAATAGCAATGTTCCTCCATTACCAAATGCCGATCGCAGTTTACTTTGATCAACAGCAACAAGAGACGCAAAGAGATCCCGCACACAAGAATCGGCAGCTGCTTCTTCGGCTTGCATTTGTTGAATTCTTTTTTTTTTTCGTTGCGATCTGATCCTCGACTTTGGATATCTGAGCTTCCATAGCATTTGCTTCCTGCTTCAACAACAAGAGCTCCTTCTCGGCAATCTCAGCCTTTTGTTGATCGAACAAGGCAGCTTTTTCAAGTAAGCCCAGCACGTAATCAGTACACTCGGCAGTCTCAACAACTGGCAACAATGTGCGTAGTATGCTCCAACATTTCGCATCCAGACGAGCAAATGTAGGTGCCAGGTCCTTGGGCAAAGTCAATAAAACACCCCCATTGTTGACACGCCGTTTCTTCTGCCCTGATGGTCCATCTTCCGCAGGCTCATCCGACAAGCTCTGCTGCTGGCCACTCCTCCCAGCATCCAAATCGCTGCTTTGCTCAGCCATCTCTGAAAATCAGGCAACCAATGTATCAAAAAATGGATTCACAACGTGTGTGACGTAACAAAGAGATCCATTGATGCTAACCTTTCTTGATTGAATCCGCGTGACTTGTCATTTGAAACAAACACTTTTGTGCCTTTCAGATCTCACGACTCCTGCAATAAGAAGCAAAGAATGCGCAGTCAATAGGACAAACTGTGAAACATTATTCGTCCTTCTGGCAGTGTGCTAGTCATGCAAACTGAGAGATATTATTCCTCCTACGAAACCAACACACAGGTCTAGCTGCGGTGCCCCAGCAAAAATTCATTCATAAAAAAAACACAATTGGGCAAATTTATTAAGGAAACTCATCTCCCCACAAACCTAGGAGAACCATATTCTTCTGAAAAACATTGTTTGCACCATCCGGAACTTCACCATCATCAGCCGCATAAAACCCGCATTGGTATGAGGAGATACACTATCTTCTGTGTTTTCTTTCACAAGCAAAGGAGATAGACATCACCTCCGAAATACGCACTGGAATTCTTTCCCATCAAATTTACAAAGCATTTCCAAACCCTTCAGCAAAACTTGCAAGTTGGTTTATCCTACTTCCTCCAAAAACATTCCAGACAATTCCATTATTGCTGCGCATGCGAGCTGCCATCTTGCTCCTGGCAAATTTGACCAGTTGATTGGTCTTAACACTCCCGCCACCTTGTGGCAAAACTGTAAGACCAAGGGGTAACAGTAGTATGTCACAGGTTGACTAGAATCACTAGATGTTGTCCATGACACAAGCCACATCCAACCAAAATACAAACACAAAAATGTACAACGAAATGAAAATATCATATTATCACTCAAATAAACCCCCTGTCAACAAATCAACTCTGGAGATGGAACCTTCATGAAACATTCCAAAAGGATGAAAGATGAGCTGGACCATCTTCATCGAAGGAATTAAACAGAATTACACACATCAAAGAAGTCCTAACTTAATCGCCCCTCATCATCAACCATCAGGAAACTTTCCATAATGAACAAGCTGGGGGTGCCCAGCCACACCTGGGCATTAGTTAGTATTCTTTTTGGAAGATTTTGACATTTTGTCATGATGATAGCAAGTATTTTGTTCAAGAGCAATTTTCCAGCCCCATATCTTGTCATTATTTGCAACATTTCATAAGGAGTGGGGAAATCATGATGAGAGTAATGAGTGATATTTTTGGGTCAACCTAAGTCTGGGAGTGCCCAACCATGCCTGGGCATCATTGGAACAATTTTGTAGGATTTGAAGAAATTGCTGTTGATATGAGTGGTTATATTTTTAAGAGAGTGTACACAATCACTTCTAGTGCACCATTCATAGTGAAGATTGCAAAACATTTTCATGGTAAGAAGTGCTGGTAAAATGTTGAATGACCCAAAGTAATTGTTTAGTATCCAGCCACACATGGGCAACATGTTCAAAATATCAGAAATACTTCACAAATTTGAACGTTTAACAATGGTCACATGTTTTGTGTCCACCAGTAATCTTGGTCTTGTGCTCAATCCACCATTGGCTGTGTGGAGAGAATTTATGATCTGTTATGAGCCCAAAGTACAGTACTTCACTTATTTAAACCTTGGGTGCCCAGCTGCACATGCACATCATTTGTATACTTCACAAATTTGAATGTTTAACAATGGTCACATGTTTTGTGTCCACCAGTAATCTTGGTCTTGTGCTCAATCCACCTTTTTTGGTCCTGTGTGGAGAGAATTTATGATCTGTTATGAGCCCAACGTACAGTACTTTACTTTATTTAAACCTTGGGTGCCCAGCTGCACATGCACATCATTTGAATAACTTTCAGTTAGTTAAGCAAAAGTTGCCCTGATGAGATCAGTCAAATGTTTAACAGTGGGTACCCAACCTCTTCTGGTGCATCACTGTGCAAGATTTGTGAATGTTTCAACACATTTTAATGAGAACCATCTGCTTGATTCACATATTGAATGACAAAGAGTAGTTTTGCTCGATGCAAAAACCCTGTGAGTTGATCACAACTGGCAAATAAGGCATCTGAGTGGCATATCTCTTGCAATTTTATAGACCCTTCCCTTTTTTCCAGTGTCCTTTCTACATAGAATTCAGACCCTAAAAGTTAATGTACTTCCCTTGAAATGAAAGGTAATGTTGACATTGTTAACTTCACACAGAAAAACATGGTGTACATGCCTTAATGCAGCTTCCATCTCCCAATGACCCTGCACCATTCATTAGACCCATTAATGAATCCTAATTGGAAGACAAAATTTTCCTCTCTCACTGAACAACTCACATTTGAATCAATGTCTTGAATTAATTTCAACATCTTATCCTTGAAATTTCAACTGGCACATACACAACAGGGGGCTGATATCCTGTGTAATGGAACCTTGATCCTATCTTTATTGGCCTCTTCATTCACTTGGACATTCCTTCTCTATGCTTTTCCTGATTTTGAACAGTAGTTTTGTGAAACCCCACATATTATAACATATGTTGCAGAATATATTTCCTGTTGGGCTAAATTCCATGTGGATGGATGCAAAAACATGCAAAATCCTTCTTAATTCAATAATCACCCAGCACATTCATAGGTATAATAATTTACATCAGTAATAAATATTATGTATACTTTTTATGTGAAAATTTTGAAAATTGAATGAGTTGAAATTCAAAATATAAAATCTTCTTTTCCCACTTTTCATACAATTTTCAAAAAAGTGTTTTGTTTCTGATTGTATCTGACACAATTTGAGTTTTTTCAAAATAGAAAAAAATGTTCAAAACATCATTGAGCATGTAGCACTTGAAAAATTTTGGACATCACTTGCAAATTGAAATTTTAACAAAATTTTTAAACTTTTAAAAAATGGAATAAAATTTCTTCTAGAGCACTCCTGTTTTTCTTTTTACCTCCTGATAACTTTTGTTGTTTTACAGATTTTTGATTTGTTTTTATGATGTAAATGCGCATAGATATTCTACAAATTTAAAGTTTTCTTCATTGAAAAATGTGGAAAACTTTCACAATGTAAAAGTATTTTTTTTCTCATTTATCCCAATTTTGAAAAAAGTGTTTGCATTTTTCATTGCAACTTGGTCAATTTTACATCTTTTTCAAAGTTTCAAAGAGTAAATGTAGAAAACATCATGGCACATTCATTAAAGTTTTAAAGTGAGGTTTTGTTAAATAATGGGTATGTTACAAATTTTTAAAGTTTTGAAAACAGAAGAACAGTTTTTTCAGAGACCCCCTATTTTTCAATTCTAACTTTTTTGATTTTCAAGCAATTTCAATTTTTTCTGCTGGGTTGTATGCGCACAGATGTTCTACAATAATAATTATTTATGGTTTTTGAAAATTATTGAAAATTGGCTGATTTTAATTTCAAAAACCAAAAGCATTTTTTGCAAATTTTGTATTATTTTTAAAAAGATTTGTGCATTTTGTACTGTATCTCAATCCATTTTAAAGATTTTTTAAAATTTCAAAAAGTAAGATTTAGGAAACATCATTGTACTTGAAACAATTGAAGAAATTTGATAATTAGGTCATAAGTACATTTTTGACAAATTTTCAAACTTGACAAAATGGGAAGAAAAGCATGCATGGGAAATCAAACTTTTCATTTTAGCTGATTGTAACTTTTGGGATTTTGATGCAACATCAAAATTTGTGGCAGGGTTATATGCACAGAGATGTTTCATGTTCATAAAATTTTTTGTCTTTGACAAATGTTGAAAATTGACTGAGATAAAATTCAAAACAAAATTATTTTTTCCAAATTTTCATACAATTTTTAGAATAGATTTTGCATTTTTCATTTTATTCCAGTCAATTTTAATGTTTTTTCAAAACTAAAAATAAGAAAAAGTGGAAAACACCATGGTGCTGTTGATGAAGTTTTAAAAAATAAAGTTTATTGAGGAATAAAGTTTTGCCAAATTTTTAAAGTTGGCAAAACAGGAAACAGAATTTTCGAAAATGTCCGTTTTTTTTAGTTTAGCTCATAATAACTTTGTTTTCACTAATGGAATGTAAATCATACTTTAGGGCTGAATGCACATGGATGTTTTGCAAATATACATATTTTTTTCATTGAGCAAAATTAAAAACTTGAAAAGCTAAAATTAAAAAAGTAAAGGTATGTTTTTCCTGATTTATCCCTGTTTTTGAAAAAAGATTTGTGTTTTTCATTGTGATTTAAAGAATTTTCAAGCTTTTTCAAAACTAAAAATGAAAAAATGTGGCAAACAACATGGTTCTCATGATAAAGTTTTAAAAAGTAAATTTTATTGAGAATTGCAATTTTGCCTAATTTTTTAATTTTGAAAAACGGGAAACGGAATTTTCACAAAATTTCTTTTTTTTCACTTTAGCTCATGATAACTTTTTTTTTATGGGTGGAATGTAAATTATTTTTTGGGGGTAAATGCGCATGGATGTTCTTTGAATTTACATATTTTTTTCAATGTGCAAAGTTTCAAAGGTGAAATTCAAATATCAACTATGTAAAAGTATTTTTTCCCGATTTGTCCCCGTTTTTTCAAAAAAGTTTTGTGTTTTTGATTGAATCTTGATGAATTTTCAAGATTTTTCAAAATTTCAAAAAAGACAATTTAGTAAACATCTGTGCGCCTGCAACAA